TGATGAATTACTTGATTAATTTGATTAGGTCAAGCACAATTAAAATGATAGTAAAATTCTCCTAATTAGCTATAAAAAAAATTCTTAATTAAATTTTTAACACAATTGTATATCGAAACTCGAATTCAAGATCACAAATTAAGTTGGAAGCTTATCACTTGTTTGGTGACCAATATCTCTTTCCAAATCTTACGCCAATAACAAATTTAAACAGTTATATTTCCAGGTTTTGGTTTTTCTTGGTGCAGATAAATATGCCACTTCATCCATCAATTTGGGTTGCTAAATTTGACATACAAACAATAGGATTACTTGTAAAATACGCAGGCCTATCAAAGTTGATATTGGCGGTGGTTGAATTTAAAATTAAGTTACGAACAGTTATACTTGCTTTTGTTTTCTTCTTTTTTTTTTTTTTTTTTTTTTGATAACATGCTTTTGTTTTCTTCTTTGTATATGCTTTAAATTAAACTTTGCATGCATCAGTGCCCTCTTTCTATGATTGCGTTTATTTTGTCTATTCCAATCCATATGAGGAGGGAAAGTAGCACTGTAGCAGTGCATGTGAATCATGTGTGATCCAAGATTCCAGGCTTGTTCACACCCAATGATACCTCTCTATCTGGACTTCATTTCGAATACCGAATTAACTTGGCCAAGGTGCACCTCATTTAAAATGACCTTATAACATAAGTTTTTTTTTTTTTTTTGTTAGTCTATTTTTATTTATTTATTTCACTTTATTTAATTCCTTATCCCTATTATTTGCCTTTTAGTGTTTAATTCTCTCTCGTTATTGTCTTCTCGTCTTGGTTTGTCATTGAATTATTTATTGCTGAGAATAGATATATTTCCCTGAAGTATTTGGATATAGTAGTGTTTTTAATTAGATGCAGTGGTATGAACCAAAATTCTACCATGAAGTCACCATAAGGATCTCAAATGAAGACTGAAAAAAGGAAAATAATAATATAAAAGACACAGTAGCTTTATATTTTGATAGAATAATAATATCGGTTGAACTGAAATTTTGTTGGTGTAATAGGCATTTGATGGGTGCCCAAGAATTGTATTTGATGAATAGATATGGATTGGTTGGCAATGACTATTAGCGTGTTAGATTAGCTTATTCTGAAATCAAAAAAATAATAATAAATTTTTTTCAATGAGAACAGTTGAAAAAAAATGTAATTGTTTATTCAAAATAATTTATTTTCAAACATGATGCATATCAGAGTTCTTAACTGGGCTTTCTTTGTGTGAATATGCAATGGGTTATATAGCAAATGGTTGTTTTAATTGATAGAACCAAATAAGTGCATGTAACTATGTAAGGATAATAATTTGCTTACCTCAAACCTTGGTTTGGAGAGTGCAAATTGAGTTTCTTCCTCAAACTCACATCTTTTGACAAAGTTTCAGATGAGGTATGTTGTAGCAAGCCCAATTGCAGAGACCCAGACAATATACTAAAAAGCCTGTTTATTTGATGGACTACATGAAGTAGAAGCCCATTGTTGTGATAGCCTTATGGTTTATTTTAGGATTCCAGAAGCTACCATCAGATTAGTTAAATTTACTTTATTTTTTCCTTTCAAATTTGAACGTATAGGATTAGATTATGATAGATAAGGTTATCTTCGGCACTAGTTAGGATTTTCTTATTTTCAGCAATAGCTAGGTTGTTATTTTCTGCTCTATAAATTGAGAAACTCTGATAAAATAAATAAAATAGAATTATTTGATCTCCAGTCTTGTCTCTCTCCTTCTTTCCTTCTTTCCTTCTTTCCCTTTTCATGGGATATTATTGTCTCAAACCATGGTTCAAGCGGAAGTGAAACATAGTACTTTTATGTTTGGTAAAAAATATGTAAATATAAATAATTCTATATTGTAAACTCACTTTTCATAAAAAAATAGGGGATTGTGTTGGTCCTATTACATAACAAACATCTCTCATCCTGCACACACAAAATTTGTCGCTGTCAACTTTTGTTTTTTGTTTTGTTTTTGAAACTCTCATGGGACCCATTCTTTTTCATTAGTGCACGAAAACTATTTTTCTTTCCTATAACATAACAAATATATTTTCCAAAAAAATATATGGCTACAGTAATAATACCTAGAGCAAACAAGTAATGCCATTACATACTGAAGGGGAAAAAAAGAAGACAAGAATTTAAGATTTAAAAATTTATATAACTACTGACGGTAAAAGCCAACTCTTTGTATATTGAATCCACTTTTGTATGTGGGGTATATTATAAGGGTCTGCATTTGTCATTTAACATGACACAACAAACTTTCTTACATACACAATATTTTGTGGGGTCCACACTTTTTGAAGAAAAAAGAAAAAGAAAAAGTTAAGACAAACAAAACAAATCTCTATAACATTACACAATCAATTTTTCTACAACATAACTCTTATAAAATTCATATTATAATATGAGTTTGAGCATATCAGATAGGTGGCTGTGACAAATTTCTAATTACAAAAACTTAACTTTGTGCATTGAAGTCTGCGGAAACCCCTTGAACATTGGAGATTCAGCCCAATAACAAATACTTGCAGGTTGGGAATTTTTTTTACTTAAAACCAGAAATTTGGCCCATATATATAATCAGGTTGATGTTGCTGGTTTGTATTACAAAGCTTTTGGGCCTCTGATTAATCCAACTCTCTCAATTTAATGGGGCTCTCGTTAAACGCCTCAATACTTTTTTCGAATTTAGTACCTTGGGAAACTTAATTAATAAAAAGAACAATGGGTTAAATTAAAGTAAAATAATATTTAAAATTTTTACTCCAAATTGTCGAAGGAGAAATTTAGAGGGGGATATGTCTAGAATATGTAAGAAAATAAATAAATTATGAGCTCTAAAAGAATAATGGGCTGAACATGAAAAAAAAATGAGTGAGTGAAAAGAACTTGATCTTTTCCTACTAGACTTCGATCAAAATAGTCTTTTTCTACCTTTTCCCATAAACACCCCTTTCATAATTGAGACAATTTTTTGTGCTCTAGGATCTCCATCACCCGGTACTCCCCATTACTTAAATGAAAAATTCTTATTTCAATAAAGTCATTAATTTTCATTTTTATTCCCCCTCAATCCTAACTTCTTACCACAAAAAATTGGTTCCTCAATTTTCCAATAAATAAAAATAAAATTGGTTCCTCATAATCTCATTGTCACTGTTACATGTAAGAACTTTTCCCTCTCTTATCTTTTCCTCATCTATCTTAAAATTTATTCATTATAGTATTGATATAAATATTTTCAATACAATCAAAATTATTCTTTAGTTGTTATTATAAATGATAGGGTAATATTAATATTATGTAACTCGAAAACAAATCCCTTTCCTGCACAAACAATGAAAACACCGGGTCCACAATTTTTCTTTTTCTTTTTCTCCTATCACTTTCTCTCTCTTCACTTTTGTCTCTGCTGGAAAATTATGGACAATTGCAGTACATAATACTTGTATAACCCTAAATGATATTATAAGGAATAAATATTATATAAATTATTTATGACATAATAATGTTAAGTGTATGTTTGAATTCCCTTTTTTTAGTTTCTTTTCTCCTTATAAAAAGAAGTTAGGCCAAATAGAATTTGAGAAAAATTCTTATAATAAAAATCTCTTTTTTATAATAAAATAAAGATGAAAGTTATATTTACAATTTTTTTTATAACCTCTTACAACCATATCTTATCACCGTTGATTTCTGTCAATCAACGGTTATCATTTATTGTGAATTAATAATTAATTAATGAGTTTAATTTGCTAAAATGATAATCGTTGATTGACGGAAATCAACGGTGATAAGATATGGTTGTATGAGGTTGTAAAAAATAAAGGTTGTAACTATAAAAAACGGATCTGGATCCTCTCTTGTGAAAATTCACATGACCATGTCATGTGGGGAATCATAACCATACAAAGGTGAATCAATGGTAAAAAAAGAGGAGAGAGAAAAAAATGATAAAATAGATAGTTACGAAATCATAACCGTTGATTCACCTTTGTATGGTTGTGATCTTCTCACATGACCGTATCATATTTTTTTGGCACATGAGAGAATCCATTTCCATAAAAAACCATGGGTGGGTTTAAGCTCCTCGAATAAACTTTTTTTTAAGCTCTTATTAGCCTACACAAAAAAGAAGAAGCTCTTATTAGCTTCTTTTGAATTGTGTGGGTTTTTTTTTTTGAAATAAAGAGTCATAGAAATAGAGAGAAATATATTTTTCTTGAAATATATGCTTTGAAGTTATAAAAATTATGTAATCACTAAACAACTTTTAAATTTTTTTAACTTTAATTTAAAAATAACTTCTAACTTTAAAAAAAAAATCATCCAAACATTTGAAAAAAAAAGCATGTCTAAAATAAACTTGTTTTAAAAGCAGCAAATAAAAGCATATCTATTTTTAAATTCTAATATTTAAAAAAAAAAAAAATACTCGGTTGAAGTGAAACCCTAAAAAAAACCGATGCTATATATTTGTGGTTGAGGGTTGTTCTAGGTTATTCTCAGCGTTTCTGTTGAGGAAAGGGCTATGATTACAATGAGAGAGGGCTTGAGTGGGAAACCCAATTCCATGGCCAAGTTCAGATCTTGATGGTGCCGCCATGCCCTTTGCACCAAAGGGTTCGGCTTTGGTATTTCAGATTCTGTCTTTCTCCGCCGCCGCCATCACCACCACCACCACCTCCTCTTTCTCTCTATTCACATGAATTGGGTTTTCCCACTATGACAGAGCTTTCAAAATTTACACTTGATATGAGCCCTTCACCTTTTTTATATTTAATTTTTTCTACTGTCGGTGTGAAATTTCATTTTCAATTTTATTTTATCAAGTTTGTTTATTTATTTTTTATTTTTTGCACTGATTGTATTTTGTAAGAGGAAACACTTGGGTTTTGTTTTCTCTTGTAAGCCTCAGTGCGCATAGAAAATGCCTGATTAGAGCTACTACTGCTTATTTCTGAAGAACAGGTTTTTCTTTTTGTTTGTTAACAAAAGGAACTGTTTTTTGGAAATATGGTGTGTGTATGTTGTAATTGGGCAGCGGCCAGACAACCGTAGGGATGGTATCCACAGATGATGGGTTATTTTTCTGTCTCATTTTTCTACTGATTCCATCCCAAATTTTCTTCTTTGTTTTAACTGCAGTGATTATATTTGATGTTGTGTTAATATAAAGTTTGAGAGTGTTCGATATGAAAGACATAGAGAAGTAGATTAATAGGATATCGGAGGAATCAATGGACTGTACATGCTTATTGTGATTGGAATTAATGTGCTGCATATTTTCAATTTTCGTGTTCTTTTCTTGGATAAAAATTGGAGCATTCATATCTAAATCCCTAAATAATGAAACAAGGATTATACGGATGGGAAAGAATAGCATGTTAAACTGAAATTCAGTAATCCTGAGATCACTTGCTTAGGGTACATTTTCCTCCATAAAGACTTTTTTTTAAAAAAAATTTAAAGTGTTTAATTGGATAGGGGCCATATTAAAAAAAATAATTAAGATATTTTAGTGAGATTAGACCATAAAAATTAAAAAAATTAAAAAAAGTTAATGAAGTGACCAAATGCATATAAAGCAAGAAAAAATATATAAAAATAAGGAAAATAAAAACATTGGAATTGAGACAAAATTTATGCGCCTCAGTCTAGCAAATTGTACGTTCAACCAAAGCTCCAGTAGCACCAACACCTTGTCTCTTTTTCAAAAAAAAAAAAAAAAAAAACTTTGTCTTCTTCTTTTAGATTAAGGGTGTGTATGATAACTATTCTATTTCTATCACTGTTTCTGAAAAAAAACAATTCTTTCTATTCCTATCACTGTTTCTGAAAAGAAACAATTCTTTTCTATTTGGAACACCCTTTTCATGCGTTTGCATAGTTAAGTATCTAATCTGAGCTTCCATGCAATTGATGCATCTTTCCCGTAGCAAATGTACCGCTTCGGCCACTCTTGTTAGCTGTGTTGGACAATAAGACTGGAATAACAGTAAGATATAAGTTATACACACACAAAGTAATGCAAATGCATTAAGGGCAAACAAGAATTTCATACTGCAATATACTGACCTTAAAGCTGCTTCTACATTGGTTCATTACTATTTCCTTTTTTGGTTTATCTATTACGTGCCTTTGAACATATTGAGATAGGTGCTGGTAAAGGGAACCGGAAGACTTTGATACACAGGGACATGATATACTTACCAATTTAATATATATATATATATATATATATATATATACTTATCATCAAAAATATTTATCACGTTTATAACTAATTTAATCACCGTTAATTTTTGTCAATCTAACGGTTATAATTTATTAAAATTAATAATTAATTAATAAGTATAACTCAATAATTTTCAAATAAGTATAACCGTTAGATTGATGGAAATCAACGGTGATTAAGTTGGTCGTAAAGGTGGTAAACTTTCTTGGTGGTAAGTATATCATTTCTCATATAATATAAGTAGGGTTATAGGTAGGCGCCACAATTCCAAAGAATTGATAAGCTCGAGAACGCCACAAGGATTGATGCCCCTGATAAGTTCAGAGATTTTCAAAAGAACCCAAGAGAACTAGTCTCACCAAAATAGGTTAACTTGATATTCCAAAATTCGTCTTCAAAAGCCATGGTTGTGTTCCCTTATATAGTGGGCAACAACCATATTGAGTTTAACCTAAAAGTGCTTACACATAAAAGAAAATAGACAGCCCAATAAGCCTTATTACAAAATGTTTAACTAAATATAAGAAAATAAAAATTAAGTGCAGAATTTGGGCCAAGTAAAATAAAGCCTTCATGCATATCCATTGAGGCTTATTCTTCAAGGTCTTCAATTTGAATTAAGTGTATCATTTTGGGCTCTTCTTCCTTTAGACTTGGGCTTGTCTCAAGTAAAGTGGTCACCAAGAGATTTAGAGCCTCTTTAGCCTTTTTAGCTTTTGCTCTTGTCATTGGGCCTCCAAGACCTTGTATGTCCTCCAAGTTTGTTGTCTTGGTCATGCCACCTCCTATGTCCTCATCATTCCCTCCTTCTTTAGAAGAATTTGTCCTCAAATTGTAATCCTCGTCTCCTGCATCAAAAAGGGACAAATCAGCCACATTAAAAGTAGCACTTACACCATACTCACCAGGAAGGTCTATTTTGTAGGCATTATCATTAATTTTGGACAGCACTTGGAAAGGGCCATCTCCTCTTGGTTGAAGCTTAGATTTCCTTTGGGAAGGGAACCTCTCTTTTCGCAAATGAACCCAAACCCAATCACCTGGTTCAAAAATTACCTTCTTCCTTCCTTTATTTCCCTGCTTAGCATAGCTCTCTACCCTTTTCTCAATGTTTGCTTTTACCCTTTCATGTAGTTTTCGCACATATTCAGCCTTACTCTTACCATCTTTATGTTGAAAAATAGAGTTGTTAGGCAAAGGTAGCAAATCAAGAGGAGTGAGAGGGTTAAAACCATAAACAATTTCAAAAGGAGAATAATGAGTAGCACTATGAACTGCCCGGTTATATGCAAACTCAACGTGGGGCAAACATTGTTCCCATGACTTGATGTTCTTTTTAATTACAGCCCTCAAAAGAGAAGAAAAAGTTCTATTCACTACCTCAGTTTGGCCATCAGTTTGTGGATGACAAGTAGTAGAAAAGAGAAGTTTAGTTCCCAACTTACTCCATAATGTCCTCCAAAAATGGCTTAAGAATTTAGTATCATGATCAGAGACAATGCTTCTTGGAAGCCCATGGAGTCTTACCACTTCCTTGAAGAACAAATCAGCAATATGGATTGCATCATCAACCTTTTTGCACGAAATGAAATGTGCTATCTTAGAAAACCTGTCCACCACAACAAAAACAGAATCTTTACCATTTTTAGACCGAGGTAGTCCTAACACAAAATCCATAGAAATATCAATCCAAGGGTAATCTGGAATAGGTAAAGGAGTATACAACCCATGAGGCAATAATTTAGACTTAGACTGCTTACATACAATGCATCTTTCACACAATTTATGTACATCACGCTTCATGTGTGGCAAATAAAAATGTTCATGCAGCATGTCTAGAGTCTTTTGGATTCCAAAATGTCCCATTAATCCCCCTGCATGTGCCTCTTTCACAAGTAATTCCCTAATGGAACCTTTAGGAACACACAATCTCTTTTCTTTATAATCATTATGCCTAAAAAATCCATTTTGAGCAGCATCCACACAAGTTTTATAGATTTGTGCAAAGTCTGGATCATGCTCATACAATGCCTTAATATGATCAAAACCAATGAACTTAGTTTCAAGAGTAGAGAACAAGGCATACCTTCTTGAAAGTGCATCTGCAACTACATTAGACATACCTTTCTTGTGCTTAATCACATAGGGAAACTGCTCCAAGAACTCTACTCATTTGGCATGCCTTTTGTTAAGCTTGCCTTGTCCTTTTAAGTACTTTAAGGACTCAAGGTCCTTGTTGATGACAAACTCTTTGGGCAAGAGATAGTGTTGCCATGTTTGCAATGCCCTTACCAATGCATACAATTCCTTATCATATGTGGAATAATTAAGAGCAGCCCCATTCAGTTTTTCACTAAAATAGGCAATGGGATGCCCCTCTTGCATCAAAACAGCCCATATCCCCACATTAGATGCATCACATTCAATCTCAAAAGATTTAGAAAAATTAGGCAATACAAGAATAGGTGCATGTGTCAATTTTTCCTTGAGAGCAGCAAAGGCTTGCTCTTGTTTTTCACCCCATTTGAAACCAACATGCCTTTTAATCACTTCATTCCAGGGTGCAACTATGGTACTGAAATCTTTAACAAATCTCCTATAGAAACTAGCTAAGCCATGAAAGCTTCTCACCTCACTTACATTCTTAGGAGTTGGCCACTCTTGAATAGATTTCACCTTCTCTTGATCAACTTGCACTCCTTGTGAGCTAACAACAAAACCAAGAAAAACAACATGGTCTATACAAAACACACATTTTCCCATGTTAGCATACAATTTCTCATGCCTTAGTGCTTCCACAACATACCTCAAGTGCACAAGATGATCATCATAGGATTTGCTATAAATCAAAATATCATCAAAATAAACCACAACAAACTTTCCTAGAAACTCCCTTAACACATGATTCATTAATCTCATGAAGGTACTAGGAGCATTGGTTAAACCAAAGGGCATAACCAACCATTTATACAGCCCATATTTAGTTTAAAAAGCTGTTTTCCATTCATCCCCTTCTCTAATCCTAATTTGATGGTATCCACTTTTTAAATCAATTTTAGAGAAGAAACAAGCACCATGCAATTCATCCAATAAATCATCCAATCTAGGAATATGATGTCTATACTTTACCGTGATGTCATTGATGGCTCTACAGTCAGTGCACATTCTCCAGGTTCCATCTTTCTTAGGCACTAAAAGGACTGAGACTGCACATGGACTTAAGCTTTCTTGCACCCATCCTCTTTTCATCAAGTCTTCAACTTGTCTCTGAATCTCCTTGGTCTCTTGGGGGTTACTCCTATAGGCTGGCCTATTAGGCAATGCAGCTCCCGGCACGAGATCAATTTGATGTTCAATGCCTCTTAGAGGAGGCAGTCCATGAGGCACCTCTTTGGGAAAGACATCTTCAAATTCCTGCAACAAAGAAGAAACCTCATTTGGAATAGAGTTAGTAGGACTTGCATCTTTGATATTATTACACTCTTTACTCAAAAGTAAGAGCATTGGCTTTTTCAATTGTATAGCCTTTTTCACCTCTTTTTCTTTTATAAACAAATTTTGTGTTTTTCTCTCTTTTTTTCTTGCTCTCTTCCACTCTCTTTCCCCTTTTTCTCTCCACTTTCTTTTCTCTCTTGCTTTCTTTTATCTCTCATTTTCAAATGATCCTCACTAACTTCTCTTGGAGTCAAAGGTGCAAGAATAGTCTTGCGTTCTTCATGCACAAAAGAGAATTTGTTGGTGTAACCATCATGCATAACTTTCTTATCATATTGCCAAGGTCTCCCAAGAAGCAAATGACAAGCCTCCATTGGTACCACATCACATAAAACTGTATCATCATACTTTCCTATGGAGAAGTTCACCTCCACTTGTTTGCTTACGTCACTTC